GTGTGTGTGTGTGTGTGTGTGTGTGTGTGTGTGTGTGTGTGTGTGTGTGTGTCTTGAGGCAGGGGAGCTCATTAAAAGATAAATTGATTAACATGGACTTTGATCCATTCGTCTGTTTATCTACCTGCTTATCTAAAATCTCAGTTCAAACACTGTTTTGGTTTGTGAGCACAACACAATAGACACACAAACCATAGTCCCTCCATCATGTGTTTTCACATCAGTGATTCCAGCCAGGTGATGATGTCATCACAATGCGCCCTCTGACCCCTGTATGTCTGTATCCTCAGTRAACACACCACACTTCCTGCACATCAAAGGTGTGGAGGTGAACGCAGGACAGACAGCGACGTTTCACTGCACCGTGAACGGACAGCCGCAAGGCAACCTGCTGCTGCACCTCCAGGTGAGTTCTGCTCCGTGTGTTTGCTGCCTTCTGATTGGTCCTCTGTTCCTGCTCCGTGTGTTTGCTGCCTTCTGATTGGTCCTCTGTTCCTGCTCCGTGTGTTTGCTGCCTTCTGATTGGTCCTCTGTTGTCGTTGCACAGGGCATGGGTGGACGTGAGGCCACTGTTAAGGAAACAAAAGCTGTAAACAGTCGGCGTTACGTGGCGAGCTTCGATGTGAAAAATACAACCAAAGGTGACTCTGGACGCTACCGCTGCATCGCCCAATCAGAGCAAGGCGTGGGCGTGTCCTCCTACTCAGACCTCACAGTCAAACGTGAGTTCTGCCCTCTGATAGGCTGTTGAACGTGGTTTCTTTTTAAAAAGACTTCTTTCTTTGTAATATTTCTGTTTCATAAACTCACCTTAACACATAAAATAAAACCTGTCTGTCCTCTCACCTGTCTGTCCTCTCACCTGTCTGTGCTCTCACCTGTCTGTCCTCTCACCTGTCTGTGCTCTCACCTGTCTGTCCTCTCACCTGTCTGTGCTCTCACCTGTCTGCATGTGTTTCTAACGGATCTTTTAAAGACTCTTTTTTAACGAGGATCAGTTTCTGAAGTTCGTTATTTTTCTTTAAAAAAAGAGAACAAGATTAAAAGAAATCTTCAGAGATTGATTACTTCAAAGTAAAAGTCCTTTTTGTTACAGAGCACACACACACACACACACACACACACACAGACTCACATATGTGTGTTAACGATGCTTGTTAGGCATGTTGTGATCTTCGCAGCGGCTGTGAAGAAACACTTTCATCTGCAGCTGCTGGAGGGAATTCTGGGTATTTTTTTCCATCGTCCCGTCTGTTCTGACTCCCTGGAGAACAAAGATTAAAACCAGTTCTGTTTGGCCCTGTTCACACCAGACCGCTCTCTGAAAATGTTTGTTTACTGGGACAAATACACAGAAAGCATCACCAGTTTACATGGAGCTGCTGGTCTCACTGGGGCCCTGAACGTGCAGCTGAACCTGGTGATTAAACTAACGTTCCTTTGGACCTGGGATTCTTCTTGTGTTTTGCTTTTACAAGCTGCAGAGGGTGAGGAAGAGAAAACCTCTCTGCTGTCTGTGGTTTGTTGTGGTTTCACTGAAGACCAGCTCTGTGTAAACAGGACCTTTCTTTCCCCGTCTCACACAGTTGAGACGATCCGGTCCCAGGAACGCCAAAACCCAGACCTGCACACAGAGAGCTCCTACTGATCTGTCAGAGTCAAGATCCGGTCTGACCAGTCCTGGTCCTGAAGGACTCCTATCCAGCATGTTTTAGTTGTTTCCCTGCGCTGCAGTAAGTTGTAAGTTCTGCAGGAGCCTGCCGATCACTCAGTGATTTAAATCAGGTGTGCCAAARCAAAGAAACAACTACAACATGCAGGCCATGGGTCCTTGAGGACCAGGATTGAGAACCACTCGTCTACAGGTTCAAATCTTTTTGTAGTAGTTTATGGGAGCGCTACTCAAGAGGTTCTTGAGTCCATGGTGAAGAGGGTTTGTGGTGGTTTATGATTTTTAAAAACATTTCTATTTATTCTTGAAGGATTCCATTGGAAAAACAACCATTAATCATTGATCAGGTTGGATTTTAGTAAAAAAACAACAACCCTTCTCTAACTGATCTGACTGTCTTTAAACATTTTGATTGACCTGTAAGGACATGTGCTTCATTCTGTCAGTGAGAACCCCTGTTATTTATTCTTAGTAGAACACATCTGTTATTCATTCTTAGTAGAATACACCTGTTATTCATTCTTAGTAGAATACATCTGTTATTCATTCTTAGTAGAACACATCTGTTATTCATTCTTAGTAGAACACATCTGTTATTCATTCTTAGTAGAACACACCTGTTATTCATTCTTAGTAGAACACACCTGTTATTCATTCTTAGCAGAATACACGTTATTCATTCTTAGTAGAACACGCCTGTTATTAATTCTTAGTAGAACACATCTGTTATTAATTCTTAGTAGAATACACCTGTTATTCATTCTTAGTAGAACACATCTGTTATTCATTCTTATTAGAACACATCTTTTATTCATTCTTAGTAGAACACATCTGTTATTCATTCTTAGTAGAATACACCTGTTATTCATTCTTAGTAGACCACATCTGTTATTCATTCTTAGTAGAACACACCTGTTATTAATTCTTAGTAGAACACATCTGTTATTCATTCTTAATAGAACACATCTGTTATTCATTCTTAGTAGAACACATCTGTTATTCATTCTTAGTAGAATACACCTGTTATTCATTCTTAGTAGAACACGCCTGTTATTAATTCTTAGTAGAACACATCTGTTATTAATTCTTAGTAGAACACACCTGTTATTCATTCTTAGTAGAACACATCTGTTATTCAATCTTAGTAGATGTTCGGTTTTTTAACCTGGGAACTCAGAGAAACCACAACAAGCCCGGCCGAAACATTAATCAATGACACCAGAGACCAGTAA